TGTCTTTGTGTTTACAGAGCAGGTACCCTTATCTCCTGAGCCACCCCTCTAGCCCACAGGAAAAGATTTCTTAGATGAACTATCAAAAGCAGATCCCTAAAAGGAAACAGTAGATCTGCTGGACTTCATAAAAACTCAGAGCCTCTATTCTCCAAGATCGCCTAATGAGGCAGCATTCTGGAGACTTGAAGAAGTACCAGGAAGTCAGATACATGATTTGATCAAGGGCTTGTATCAAGAATATATAAAGAACTCTTGGTAGCCAGAATAGGGTTGGGGGTTTAGTGCTTGCTTAGTACACACAAGGCCCTGGGTTCAATCCCCAGGACTATAAACAAATCAAAAGTAACAATTAAGCAGGGAGTTGGTGGGGCACACGCCTTTTATCCCAGCACTTGGGAGGCAGAGGCAGGCGATCTCTGTGAGTTCAAGGTCAGCCTGATCTACAGAGGGAGTTCCAGGACAGGCTCTAAAACTACAGAGAAAGCCTATGTCAAAACAAATAAACAAACCAAAACCAGAAAAGTAACAATTAAAAATGGGTAAAAGAGGGGGCTGAAGAGATGGCTCAGAGGTTAAGAGCACTGGCTGCTTTTCTAGAGGTCCTGAGTTCAATTCCCAGAAACCACATGGTGGCTCACAACCACCTATGATGAGATCTGGGGTCCTTTTCTGGTCTGCAGTCATACATATAGGTAGAACAATATATACGTAATAAAAATCTTTTTAAAAAATGGATAAAAGAGCCGGTGGTGGCACATGCCTTTAGTCCCAGCACTCGGGAGGCAGAGGCAGGCGGATCTCAGTGAGTTTGAGGTCAGCCTGATCTACAGAGCTAGTTCCAGGGCAGGCTCAAAAAAAAAAAAAAAAAAAAAAAAAAAAAAAAGAAAAGAAAAGAAAAAAAAAAAAAGATAAAAGCCGCCATATCGAGGTTTACTAAGGATCAGGATAAACAATGAGGCCAAACAGATGTTTATTCAGGGAGAAATAACTCACAACATAGACAGGTGAACACCAACAGGTTCCTGCTTCCAAGAATTCCTCTGGATCTCCTCCTCTCCCCATGGGGCTGGCAAGAGAGGCGCTCTCCTGCGCCTCCTCCGACCTAGTTCCCCAGGTCACTTCCACCCTTGACTCCACTCCCAATGGGTGAGGTCACTGCCACAGAAGGAGACAAAGTGAATACCCCACTACAAAGCCAGGCACCAGGTGTGAACCTATAGTTCCAGCTACTGAGTAGGCATGATGATTATTTGAGCCAAGGAGGTGGAGGTTAGCCTGACAGAAATGGGCCAAACATAAGAGAAAGATTTCAACATCTGATTCACCTGCAGAGACCCTTGGTGGTAATGAGCATTAGAGAGATGGTAGTGTGAGCTGTGGGTGTTACTTGGATGCCATGTCTTTTAAGAACCCCTCAAAGTCTGCATGCCTAGGAGCTCTGACAGCAGGGCTGTCTAGTGGGCAGTGGAGCAACTCACTGACCTGTAAATGACTGGATCCCTTCCTTTCAGGGCCTGCACAAATGCCCTTGAACTGCAATCTCTGGTTGTTCGATTCGTTTTTCACTCAATTGTACCTTGACACATTTCCTCTTTGCCATGGTTGTTGGGAAGCTCCCAAGCCAAGCTAGGCCCCGATTAACTGAACTTTAATGCCCATAACTTGGTAGTTCACTGCTCCTTTCAGCTTTTGTTTTGTCATTCTGTATAAAATAAATCTGGGGACCGGAGAGACGGCTCATCAATTTTGCAGAGGGTTCAGATTCTCAGGTTCCCAGCATGTACATTAGGTGGTTCCAGGGGACACAACACCCTCTTCATGGTCACTGTGTGCGCGCACACAGTGTACATACAGATAAGCAGGCAAAGAAACACACTTACCCATTTAAAAAAAAAATGTTTCCTAGCACATTCCATCTTTTGAACTCTGCTTTTATTCAATTATTTATTTAAAGAAAAATGTTTCTTTTGTGCCTTCTGTGAGATCAGGAAGCAAGTCCTGCACCCTATCTCTGTACTGAGAGAGAACATTAAAAATGTTTGGGATGGTGGTGTGAGATGGCTCAGGGGGTGAAGCTCTTGCTACCTAAGCCTTGTGGCCTGAGTTCAATCCGCAGAACCTGGTGGAAGGAGACCCCCAAAGGTTGCCCTCTGACCTTCACACAAATGCACCTTGGCATGGGTATGCCCCTTTCACATCATCATCGCCACCCCCACCACCTCCTCCACCACCACTAATAGTAATAAATAATTTTTTTAATTAAAAATGTTTTGAGTTTGAGGCACAACTCAGTGGGAGGTGCTGGCCTAGAATGTGCAAAGTTTTGGGCCTAACATCACAAGAAATATGTTGAATAAATCAGGTAATTTTGAAAATTATATCAGTGTCCTCCCAAGGGGGGAATTCAGATGTTGTCGTCTTTCCCATTTCCTGCTTTCTGTGGTACTCACCTGCCAATGTCCTTGCATGCTAGCTCTCCATTCTGTCTGGTCCCTAGACCCTAGTGAATGTCTTCTGGGCATTAGCGCAGTGGCTGGAAGACAGGCCACTTTTTCTCCTCTGAAGAGAAGTGTGAACTGGGGTCTGAAGTGACATGTTGTCAGTTGGTGGCACTGTGACAGGTCGCCTCCTCCACCATTCCTGCTTTAGGAGCTCAGCTCCCTCTCCCTAAGTCAGAGGCTCATCCTTCACTGTGATTCAGTGGTGACAGCCATCCCCAGCTGGAAATGGTTCCCTGGGGACATTGCCCAACTCTCATACCTAACATGGCCCACTGCTGGGAACTTCAGCCTGCCTATGATGTGCTCAACACCACTCAAGAAAGAATTCAGCCTTTGGCAGAAGAAAGGGAAGGAGGAGGCCGGGTTATTTTCAGCCAACCCATCTCTTTTAAGAGTGATGGGTGTTTTAACACTCTCCCAAGAAGGCCATACAAGGCCCTGGAGTACTTGGCAAGGATGGCCAGAATCAGTAGCTGAGCACCCCAACCTAGCTGCAGTGGGGACACTCTTGATTTCCATTTTATAGCCACTCTTTTGTTCTCTCCCTTGCAGTGACTCAAGGATAAAGGAATTTAAACAAGTTAGATCATGGCCTTCCTCATCTCTAAAGGTTTTGGATCACCTAAACAGTGGTGAAGTTGTGGCTCCATTCAGGGGCCTGAAGCATCTGGCCCCAAGCCTCCCTTCTCAGTGACACGTTGTGTTCTGTGTCCTGGCCTCCAGCTCCCCATAGCTCAGCGTCATAATTTTCCTCTACAGGGTCTCTCCAGCTCCTGTCTGGGTTGGCCATCCCACCATCCTGTTTACAGAACTCAGCTTTCTTTCCTGGTGAGAATAAATAGCTGTTCCCTCACGTCGTGGCCTGGTGGCACTTTGCCGTCAGGCCTAGGACAGAAGGGGTCTCTTGCCTGCATCTATATCTGCCTCTCCCAAAGGTTTAAATAGCCAGAGAGAAGCGCTCGGCTGAATAACTTTGCATCTCCTCATATCTAGTCCAGAGCTTGGATGCAGGAAGCTCTCTGGAATTGTTAGTTTTAGGCTGTTTGGGTGCTGAGGTAGGAGGTTGATCTCTCCACTGTCACCCTCAATAGCTCCAGAAGTTCCCTTAGACATCTTGGAATCTTAACCGAGGCCCAAGTTCTCCTGGCACCAGTTTCCTTCTATGGCAAAAACTAAATATGACTAGCCTTTTGTGAATCATTCCAGAGACTGGAAACATGCCCTTCTAAACAAGAAGTGGCACAAGCCTGTAATCCTTGCACTTGGGAAGTTAGCAAAAAGATCAGGGGTTCAAGGTCATCCCTGGCTACATAGTGAGTTTAAGACTGTGCTGAGATCTTGCCTCAAAAACAAACAAAAAATAAAGCATATATGTATCTATATCTACATTCTTCTCCCTTTTAAAAGCAAAAAGGATTGCCCCTCGGTGGTGGCACATGCCTTTAATCCCAGAGCTCGGGAGGTAGAGGCAGGCAGATCTGTATCAGTTCAAGGCCAGTCTGGTATACAGAGTGAGTTTCAGTACAGGCGCCAAAGCTACAGAGAAACCCTGCCTCAAAAAACAAACAAAAAAAGTAAATAGGATTGCTGGTCATGAAAGAGTGCATCTTTAACTCTGTTACCCCAGATTCAGAGGCAGAGAAATGTCCGAGTTTGAGGCCAGCCTAGTCTATATGGTGAGTCCTGGGCTAGTAAGGCATATACAGTCAGACCTTGTCTCAACAAACAAAAACATGATCAAAATCAAACGTACCTGCAGTCTGCTTTTCTACTTTCTAACCCGCTGATATGAGGGGTGTGAGGGGACAGAGACACAGCACCCCACTGTGACCCTCAGCAGCTTGAGTTCTATGCTTTTAGGGACCTCAACACACACCAGAGGGATTCCTGGCTTCAATGCTGAAAAGCATTTAGGGCTAGTCGGCATAATGAAGCAGAGTTGGAGGTTGCATTAAAGATATTTCAGAGGAGCCATTGAGAAGAAAGGAAGACACACCACAGTGTAGATATAAGTTCCTCAGGGGAAGAATTGATTGACAGCTTAGCATTAGTTAGACCATTTAGGTGGCTCTCACACTGTATTCAAATGGTTGCTAAGACCAGCCCCCGTCATTTGATAAATGTGATCGCAGCATGGCACACGCACTATGGTACGATCTCATCCACTTACAGGATAAATAAAAAGTAATTTAAAAATAACCCAGCCAGAAAGTCTAGAAGCCGGGAGGGAGCGCCCCCACGTGACCACGGCCAGCGCGTGGCGCTGACGCGGGGTCATAGAGTCGCTCGCGGTGGCTTGGTGAGAGCCTCCTGGGAGCCGATCCGTTTCCCGTGAGGCCGCAGCAACAACATCGCAATCACCTCGGCAACATCGGCTTCCGGTCCCTTTTGCTGGGCGTCAACTTCCGGTATGGCTGTCGTCATCAACGAGCGCCGGGCCTACCCTTTCAAAAAGGGGTTTCCGGGCTGCGTAGGGGTCGCTGGTTGTTTCCAGGCTGCTGGCGCTGCTCGGCGTCGCCATGGAGAGTGGATCGCTGCCGTCGCTGGGCCAGTTCATCCTGCTGGGCACCAGTTCGGTTGTCACCGCCGTGCTGTACTCCATATACCGGCAGAAGGCCCAGGTCGCTCAGGAGCTCAAGGTGAGTGCAGAAAGCGGCTTGGTCTCACCGGCCCCTCGCGCCTAGCAGACCCGGGGACCCACAGGGCCCCAGAGGACGCGCGGCCCAGAGGGGACCCAGGACACCCGCTGCAACTAGGCTGCTCAGCCCCTTCGCTCCCGAGTCCCTGGAGTTAGTCTGAATGTCACCGATTTGTTCTAAAACTATTTCTGGAAAAACTGCTGTGTGCCAGGTAGTGAGAGAAACAGAGGTTGTTGTCCTTGTGGATGTTCTATTCTAGGACAACGAGACATAGACACGTTATCAGACCGTGTGATAGCGTGAGAAATGGGTTGGAGTAAGGCAGAGAGAAGTGGAAGGATGGGGGAGTTTCGTTTCATTTGCTATAATACGATACTGTGGCAAAAAGCAACTTAGGGGTTTATTTGGCTTTCAGTTCTAGGTTAACGTCCATCATCGCGGGGGAAGTCTAGGCAGGAACTTGAGGAAGCTGTCAAATTACATTTGAGTCAAGAGCAAAGAGAAGCAAATGCATTCGTGTGTAGTTCTTTACTATTGTACAGTCTAGAGCCCAACCCTAGGGAATGTTGTCACCCACAGCACGACAGCAAAGTTGTGCTCACTGTCCAATTAGAACTTTTTTCCCCCCTCACAAGACAGGGTCTCACTGTGTAGCCTTGGCTGTCCTGGAATTCACTCTGTATATTAGGCTGACCTTGAACTCAGAGGGATCCGAGTGCCTCTGCCTCCCAAGTGCTGGGATTAAAGGCGTGTGCCACCACCGCCTGGCAAGACCATTACTTAACAGATATGCCTACACACCCACAGGCCGCCGCAGTCTAGACCAGCCCCCTTCGTTTTTTTTTTTTTTTTTCTTTCTTTTGTTTTTTGTTTTGTTTTGAGACAGGGTTGCTCTGTTGCTTTGGAGCCTATCCTGGAACTAGCTTTGTAGACCAGGCTGGCTTTGAACTCACGGGTGTTGGGATTAAAGGCGTGAGCCACCAATGCCTGTCTTAGACAGCCCAGCCCCTTACTGAGACTGTTTTCAAGTGATTGTGTACAGTTGACAGTTAAACTTAACTGTCACAGGGGCATTGCCCCTTTAAGCAAGGTGATATTTTGGGTGGAGATGAGGACACCTAGCTATGCTAGGGAGTTGTGGCTCCAGCCTGGAGAGTGGCAAACTTAGAAGCTCATTATTTACTCAGCTCCTTGCTTCTACCGACCATTTTTTTAATATTGTAGTTGCTTTAAAAGTATACTCTCATATTATAATGGCACTTAACAGTTCACACAGCATCTTTCTGTCTTGGTTTTACTTTTTTTTTTTTCAGCACAGTAATTTCTGAGATGGACAGTGGGGTTCCCTGATTGCAAACCCAGTTTTTTGAGATTCAAAGGAAGAGTCACCTAGCTAGTATCAACTTGACAGGATCTGAGAGCATCTAGGAGGCAAACCTCTGGGTGTATTTCTGAGAACTATCTTGATCAGTTCATTTTGGTGGCAAAATCTGCCCTAGAAATGGGCAGTGCCATCACCTAGGCCTGGGCCCTTGGTTGCAAAAAAAAAAAATACAGAAAATGAGCAGAACACAGGCATTCATTGCTGTTTCCGGTTTTGGGTATCACGTGACCCACCTCTTTCAGATCCTTTGCCTTGACTTCCTGTTTTGGATATCAGGTGACCAGCCTCTTTGAGCCCCCTTTACCTTGACTTCCTGTCTTAGTTAGGGTTACCTTCACTGTGATGAAACACTGTTGGGGAGGAAAAGGTTTATTTGGCTCATACTTCCACATCAGAGTTCATCACTGAAGGAAGTCAGGGCAGGAGCTCAAGCAGGGCAGGAACCTGGAGTCAGGAGGAACCTGGAGTCAGGAGGAACCGATGCAGAGGCCATGGAGGGGGCTGCTCACTGGTTTGCTCCTCATTTGCTGCTCAGCCTGCTTCCTTATGGAACCCAGGACCACCAGCTCAAGGGTAGCACCACTCATTGTGGGCTGCTCCCCCTGTGCCCCCATCAATCCATTGGGATTCCCTCTTTCAAATAACTCCAGTTTGTGTCAGGTTGACATCAAACTAGCCAGGACACTTACCTAGCATGATTGAGTGAATTTATCCTTGAACTGTGTACCCAAATAAACCTTTAGTCTTTACCTTGTTTTTCTCCCAGCAAGAGGGTTGCATCCAAGATAGCTCAGAACTTAAACGTAGGCCTTTGAGATCAAAAGTAGTATAATTGGGCCAGGCAGGAGTAAGGGTTTCTATTGTGCCCTTTGCTTTGACTTTCAGATATTGAGACAGAGGACTCCAAGAAATTGGAAGTCCCCCCCCCCCCAGGAAGTTCCTGCTGCTGGGAAAAGGCATAGCCTTCCGGGGCCTGCAGAGGGTCAGAGGAGGGATGTGTAGGAGGGGCAGGCTGAGCCAGTGGTGCTGGGCAGAACCATACCTTAATACCTTAACCTGACCGCTCACTTAACGCCATTTAAACCTGACTTGCCACTGGAGAGATAGCGCAGTGGTTAGGAGTGCTGGTTGCTCTTGTTGAGCCTGAGTTGATTGTCAGCACCCACATGACAACACACACATCAGCTGTAACTCTAGTCCCAGGGGATCTCTTGATGTCTGAGTGCCAGGCATGCATGTGGTGCAGGACAAACGTGAAGGCAAAACACCCATATACATAAAAAGTAATAAATATGCTAAAAGTTTGAAAAACCCCTACTTTCCGGTTAAGACCCAAAGAGAGAATTGCCCTCTTCTCATTGTGGCTACATTGGATTAATGTCTTCCTTTTTTTTTTTTTTTTTACTGTTGATTTAGCTATTTTAGTTGGCGTGTTGCTATGTTATGGATGCCAAGGCCCAGCTGTGACCCTAACTCCAGTACACTTGGCTTTCCTTTCCCTCCTTTCTTAGTTGACAATATTGCTTTGCTGCAGTTGTCAGAGCTGTCAAGCTGATCTAGAGAGCTGGACCTTTAAAGGTCAGGGGAGGGTCTTGCTTTGTTTTCTTTGTATTCTTAACCCAGTGATTGACAAGTAGTAGATGCTCAGTACATGCTGGTGGTTTTATTTTGGCCGAAATTTTACAGTCCACCAGCCAAAGGCTTGACTTGACAGATGTGTGAAAGGTGGACTCCTGAACCTAAGTCCCTTTTCAGTAAGGGCTCAGAAACAGAACCATGGAGTTCCTGCAGTGAGGAAGTTCTGGACTCTGGAATGAAGCGACTTATGAGGAGGCAACTGGGTCTACTGTACAAATGGCCTCCCAGTAGGAGTCCAGCTGCCTAGCTGTTCATCTAATTAAATTACTAAGTTACTCCTGGAGTGGTTGGCTCAGAGTGTAACTGATCTTTCACTTTCTGGACTCCAAAACCAATTTGACTTCAGGTTGGCTGTATGTGAGACTCCCGGAATTAATGAACTCTCCAGAGCCCATCTTTGGATGACCTTAAAAAGCCTTGCCAGGACACGAGCATCTAGCTCACTTGGTAGAGTGCCTGCCTAGCCTTTGTGAAGTTCCGGAGTCAGTCCCCAGCACTGCTTAAGCCAGGTGTGGTGGGATATACCTGTAGTCTGAGAACTCAGGATCAGAAGTTCCCAGTGCTAAGGAGGCAGAGGCAGGAGAATCTGAGTTCAAGGGCAGCCTGGTCTACATGGTGACTTTGAGGCAGCTAGGGCTACATAGTGAGACCCTGTCTCAAAGCAAAACAAAACAACCTAAAACCAAACAAACACACAAATGAAGAACCCCAGAACAAACAACAACAAAAGAGTTGAAGGACATTCTCAGATGAGTGTTGAGGCCTAGGGCAGCCTGTGATACATGAGACCTAGTCAGTTTCTAAAAGGGGACTTCTAACTTTAAATTCTCATTTCATGGTCAGGTTACAGAATGCACAGAGCTGAGTTTGTCTTATTCCGATGGTTTCCTTGGTCATGGGAATCTTGAGTATTTCAAGGCTCCTGTGTGTGTGAAGGCTGCACTGAGTTTTGCCATACCTCGAGGTTCACTTAAGCTGCCTCCAAGATCCTGTGAGGGTGTGGTTTCTCCCTTTCCAATTTTGGAAACAGACTCCCAAATGAAGTTGTCCAAAATCACCAGGGATGTGCTGCAGCTTGATCCAGCCTCATCTTTGCTGAAGCTCATTCTACAGTGTGCCAAGCAGCTAATATTGATTATGTCTTCATGTGAAAGGGTTCACATTAAAGGAGTATTTTGTGGTTCAACTGGAAGCCAATGGTGACACCTCCAGCCTCTGAAGATGAGCCCAGAGCACCTGCCTGTTTATGGTTGAATTTCAGGGCCAGACTTGGGAACTAGATCATCTAGATATTTCCTCCTGTCCCGTCTCCTCATCCCCCACCCCCAACACCTTAAGTTTGAGCATCAGTCAGTATTCAGTGGCCAACCTAGCATCTATTTATGTTTGTGTTTAGGGAGCTAAGAAGATTCATTTGGGTGAAGATTTGAAGGACATTCTTTCAGAAGCACCGGGAAAGTGTCTGCCTTATGTTGTTATTGAAGGTACATTTGCTTTTTAGTGTGAGTGGCAACAACTGCCTCCTCCTAGTAGTAGGTAAAGGCTATCTTGGCTGACACACACCCCTCCCTTTTTACATTTTACTTATTTACTTATTTATTTATGTATTTTGTCTTGTTTATATGGGAGGAGAGGAGGGTGCCCCTCCATACTTGTGGAGGTCAGAGGACAACTTGGGGGAGTTGGCTACAGGATTCAGGTTGTCAGGCTTGGTGGCATTTCACCTGTTGAGTCACTTGCTGACCCTCATGAGAGCCTTTTAATGGTGGGAGCCTGTTGTCTCAGGCAAGGTGACCAGACCATTGTGGGTCTGTGATTACTTTAGGGGACTCAGCATGGTGTAAGATAGTTAAGACCTGCCGGGCATTGGTGGCCCACGCCTTTAATCTCAGCACTCGGGAGGCAGAGTCAGGTGGATCTTTGTGAGTTTGAGGCCAGCCTGGTCTACAGAGTGAGTTCCAGGACAGGCTCCAAAGCCACAGAGAAACCCTGTCTCAAAAAACCAAAAAAAGATAGTTAAGACCTGAATGATGTACTCACACAAGCGGCTTACGTAGGCGCTTTGTGGAGTGCTCCCGCATGCCTTGGGTGACACGGATGCCACCACTGTGTTGATTAATTAGCAATCTCAGCGCAAAGGCATGCTGAAACCTCAAGGCAAGGGCAGCGCCATTCTTTAGATTGCTTTCTCCACAGGAGTTGTGCGGTCTGTTAAAGAAACCCTCAACAGCCAGTTTGTGGAAAACTGTAAGGGGGTGATCCAGCGGCTGACGCTTCAGGAGCACAAGATGGTATGGAATCGAACAACTCATCTTTGGTGCGTGTCCTCTCTCGCCACTTTCTGTGTTTGGAGGCTGGGTCTGGGCTTGCTGTGTCTTAGCTTTGGGGGGACAGGTTGCAGAGCTGCCTTTGAGCAGCCCCAATGTTGCTGTGTGTACTGTGCACTAACTACCCTTAGAACCTACAAGGCAGCCAGTTACAGCGCAGGCTCCTAGGCCCAATCCCTGATTATAGAACCTGGGTTTCAGAGGGAACCTGGCATCTGTTGATGCTCAGTACACTGAAATTTTAGAAACACTCATTTATAGAGTAGTCACGCATGGGTTTGTTTAAATAATTTTGTGCCATCATATGGAGTGAACCATTTTCCCATCTGTTCTTAGCAGATTTTTGTCTCAGGTATTTATATGACAGCGACACAGGGAATAAACACTAAAGGTAACCTCTGTTAGCAGCTGTTGTCCAATGAAACCTGAGGTTCTAAAGTGGACCCTCCTCACTGTGGTCCCAGTGAGTCATTGCTCTAGAATAGTGGTCCTCCACCTGTGGGTTGTGACACACTTAGGGTGTGTCAAGTGATCCTCTCACAGGGGTCACCCGAGACCACTGGAAAACAGACATTTGCATTACAGTTTATGACAGTCACTTACAGTGAGGAAGTAGCAATGAGAATAACTTTATGGTTGAGGGTCATCACACCATGAACAACTGTGTTAAAGTGTCACAGCCTTAGGAAGGTCGAGAACCACTGCTGTAGAACGGACTGATTGGGGACAGTCTCCAGTTAACAATGGCGGAATCTGTCCCGTGGATTCTGTGTTGGTCTGCGTGCAGGTGGCCCAGTGTGGGAGTCGGGTGCCTGTTCCTCTTTTGTTCATCTTCGGTCCTTGCATTCTTTTAGGAATGACTATTCTAAGACCATTCACCAGAGGACTAACACTGTGCCCTTTGACCTTGTGCCCCACGAGGACGATGTGGCCGTGGCTGTGCGGGTGCTGAAGCCCCTGGACTCGGTGGATCTGGGCCTAGAGACCATATACGAGAAATTCCACCCCTCTGTGCAGTCGTTCACCGACGCCATTGGCAACTACATCAGTGGTGAGCAGCCAAAAGGCATCCAGGAGACAGAGGAGATGCTGAAGGTGGGGGCCACCCTCACTGGGGTTGGAGAGCTGGTCCTGGACAACAACTCTGTCCGCCTGCAGCCCCCCAAGCAAGGCATGCAATACTATTTGAGCAGCCAGGACTTCGACAGCCTGCTGCACAGGCAAGAGTCCAGTGTCCGGCTCTGGAAGGTTCTGGTCCTTGTGTTTGGCTTTGCCACCTGTGCCTCCCTCTTCTTCATCCTGCGGAGGCAGTATCTGCATAGACAGGAGCGCCTGCGGGAGCGGCAGCTTCAGGAGGAGTTCCTTGAACACGAGGCCCGCCTGCTGAGCCAAGCCTCTCCTGAGGACAGGGAGAGTCTGAAGAGCGCCTGTGTGGTGTGCCTGAGCAGCTTCAAGTCTTGTGTCTTCCTGGAGTGCGGGCATGTTTGTTCCTGCCGCCAGTGTTACCTCGCCTTGCCAGAGCCCAAGAGGTGTCCGATCTGTCGTCGGGAGATCACCAGGGTGATTCCCCTGTATAACAGCTAGGGGTCGTGTAGCCACACTGCAAGTGCCCTCCCCTTGTCAGGGTTTATCTTGAGGCCTTTGATGCGGCGGCTGTACCTTAAGGTATGGTGGACGGAACATTGGCAAGCCTCACATCTCATGGCTAGGAGTTGCTTTTCTACCTGGACAGGTTCTTTTCCAGTTCCAAGCACCTGGTGGGGCCTGTGGTGAGGTTCCCGTTCTCAGGAGCCAGATGTGTGTGACTGAATGACACCAGCTCCTTGCCTAAGCAGCAAGGCCAGTGGTCTTGACTTTTGCTCCCTGGGGTGCTGACTCCTAGCTTGGGAGGAAGGCTGAGCTCTGAAGGCCTCTTCTTGGGAGGCTGCCCAGACTCCTCCTCCTCTTGCTTCTGTCCACCAGAAGGAATTTCTTACAACTTGTCAGGCAGAGCAGGCCATTTGTGTCTCTTTTACTTGTTTCCTGGTAATGTTCCCACACGCGTGGAGTAGACGACAGGAAATGAGATCAGTCCGTGTGCGTGGGAAACTGTCAGCCGGGGGACAACAGACATTTCTAGGTGTTTCCAGAGGATTGGCAGGCAGCCTGGGTGCCTTCCCTTGGCACAGGGATGGTACCAGGGTTGTGGGGTGTGGCTGCTGCCTGGCTTTCCCAGATAGTTCTGGTTTCCTAGGGAAAGGCCTCACTGAAAGGGAGTGACAGTCACTGCTGTCTTTGCCTTTGGCCTTTGGAGCTTCTTTGCTTGCTTTTGCCAAAAGAAAGTTAGCGGGTGGGCACCCTCACAGAGAGCCTGTCTAGACGACCTGGCTGTCCCTGTCAGCAGCCCCGGCACCTCCCCATCTCTCCCGAGTGCCAGAGAAATTGGAGCCTGCCCTTCATCAGTCAGAAGGGGTCAGAAGTCACTCGCAGAGCTCCTCCTGAATATCACCTGTCCTTCGTGAGGGGGAGAAGGGCTTCTAACAGGCGCTGACCCTAGTACATGCACCATCCGTCCGTCCAAGGGAGCAGCACAAATTAAACAGATTATGTGACATGTGTCTGTGGCTTTGTTCACTAGAGTTTCGTGGCTAAGAGGAGGCTTCCCTGGGATGGAGTTGAAGCTCCACCGTGACGAAGAGGGAGCTTGGAGACCTTTGCTCTCTGTCCTCTTCGGTTGTGAGGTGGTTTATGGTTGTTGAGGATTGGAGCATCTGAGGTGGAGTGGGGCACTGGCAGATAGATAGCGAAGGGATATTAGTGTTCAGTGCTGTGGATACAGTGTTGTACCACTGTAAGCTGGGCCCAGTGACAAGCCAGTCTTGGTGAGTTCAAGGCCAGACCAGTCTACATAGTGAGACACCATGTCCAAATGGCTGGGGCTGGAGAGATGGCCCGCTGGTTAAGAGACTTAACTTGTTCTTTGCAGAGGACCTGTGTTCAGTTCCCAGAACCTACACGGTGGTCTCTACCACCTAGCTCCAGCTCCAGGGGATCTGTTGCCCTCTTCTGACCTTTGTGGGCACCAGACATGCACATGGTGCACAGACAACCCATACACACAAACTAAACCCAGGCAAAACACCCATAAACACAAAACTAAAACAAACCTGGAAAAGCTAAAAATATATAAACTGATTATAAAGGGAGTGAGTGACCCTTCCCACAGGCTGTGCCAGTGAGCGAATGAACCAGGAGAGTCACGAGGGCTGAAAGCTCATAGCAAGTTGTGGCTACCACCTAAGCAAACAAAAGGAAAAAAATACTGCCTTGCTCAGGAAACTCAAGTGGTTGCCTGTGTCAGCAAGAACACCCTAGAAGAGTTGACCATGCTGGAGGACAGTGGGTGCTGACCAGTGAGGTGTGAGGGGACTGTTGGGGAGGTACTTCTTCCCCCCACCCCAATTTTATGGCAGCTGTAAGGGCCCAGTGGGGCTTTGAAGCCCCCAACATTGCCAGAGTCGAGAACAAATCTGATTAAGAGATTAGGAAGTGAGGGAGGTGGCTTGTCTGTTCCCAAGAGGACCGCAGGTGACTCCCTGGGAGCAGGGAGCAGAAGCCTAGCTGTAGGGAGTGGGTGTGTCCTCTGGTGCTAGGTTCTGGGTCTCAGGTCACTGCTTAATCCTGCCCCATGTGACCCTGCAGCTGTCATCTCCTGTCATCTTTGGCAGCGCCTTCCTTCCACATTTACAAGCCTCTCCTCCAGGAGAGTGGTGGGGCCTAAACCCATGTGTGGTGCCAAGGTTGGGGTGAGGGTTGCTAAGGAAGATGGAGCTAGGGAGGGAAGCTGCCAGTGGGATTGGTGTGTCCCAAGTCTGCCTGCCAATCCTCTCACGGCCCCTTTGAGAGTCACCTTAGATAATTACTGCTGGCTTGGAATGCACATGCTATTGTGGTATCCATCTATTACATGCTAATACCCACAGGCCTCCCCCCCCCCACAGTTGGCATCGATGCCCCTAGTTCATTTCCAGTACTGGAACCAGTGTGGTAGTTCAGGCTACCTCAGCCTAACTGTAAAGACTGCAACCTTTGCTGGGAGCCCTTGAGACCTGAGAACCTACAAGACTGTCCTGTCCTTCTGTGTCCGTGGTCCTGGCTTCTTCCAGGACCCTCGCGGACACCACTATCCATAGATGCTTCATCCCTTATGTAAAACGGTCTAGAACTTCACATGTACCCTCCTGAGCACACGGAGTCGTTTACAGATTACCCTAATGCAAGGAAGTCACAGGTGACTGGGTGAAGCTAGGCTGTGCTGTTCCGGTAATAAGAAAACAGATGTGCACATGCTCAGCTCAGTTTCTATCATAAATACTCTTGATTGTGGTTGGTTAAATCTACAGGTACAGAGCCCACAGAGTCAGAAAGCCCACTCTGTTAGCATAAATGGCATTTTTATACCAGCCAATCAGTGCATCCATCTACCAATCAAGGCCCTCCCCAGCATCCCCTGGTGATGGGCTGGGAGGTGTTCTTCAGAATCCCAATTCATTAAAAATTCTAGTGGAACATTTAAAAAGCAAACAGAAACTTGAAAAAGTAGGCCAATCTCATGTGCCCTTCACAAGCCTGATCCCAAGTCTTAGGAAGGCCAGCTGGCTCCTGAGGCAGAGGCAGGCAATCATTGTGAGTTCAAGGCCAGCCTGGTCTACAGAGCTAGATCCAGGGCAGCTAGAGCTCCACAGAGAAACCCTGTCTCTGGTGCTGGGGCAGAGGTGCATATTGGGTTGGATGCCACTGAAGGTCATTTGTTCATTCGTTTGTTCATTCATCCTCCCAACACTATTTTGTGTCTATAGAAGTAAACTGGGGGACACCCAGTTCTGTCCTAAAAGGGCCTGGAACATGTTTCAGTGCATCTTGCCGTTGTCAAGGAGTGAGTCCCACCTGGCAGGGATAGGAGACCGTTCTTTGGTTCACTGGGTACCACAGGACATTTTCTTAGTCTGTTTTCTGTTCCTATGGCAGAAACTTTGAGGCAGAGTAATTTACAAGGAGCAGAAGTGGATTTCTGGAGAGGCTGGGGCTGGGGAAGTCAGGAGATTGGCCCTCATGGCTGCTGAAGATCTTTGTCCTGTGTCATGACAGCAGAGGGCAGCACAACTAATTCCCCCCTTGCACATACAATGGCCTTATTAAATCTATGGTCTTCTCACTTTTTGATGGTCCCACCTCTTCATCCTGTGACAGTGGCACTACAGTAGCAATGTGGGTTTGGGAGAGGACATTTAAACTGTCGTGGGGGGCTGGAGAGATGGCTCAGGGGTTAAGAGCACTGACTTCTTCCAGAGGATCAGGTTCGAGTTCCAGGGGAGCAGATGTCCTCTTCTGGCCCCTGAGGGCATCAAGCATTCAGGTGGTACATATGAAAAACATCCCCGCACATGACAACGATCATAATCTCTCCACACTATCGTAGTCTGAGGTTTGCACCCCCCTACACACACTATGGTAGTTGAGATTCACCCCCCCACACACTATGGTAGTCTGAGGTTTACACACCCACACACACACTATGTTAGTCTAAGGTTTACACCCCCTGACCTCCACACATTTTATTAGTCTGAGGTTTACACCATCCTACACAATATAATGGTAGTCTGAGGTTTACACCCTCTCCCCCCCACTACGGTAGTCTGAGGTTTACAACCCCCCCCCCAACACACACACACACTACAGCAGTCTGAGGTTTTTCTGGCTGGAGCAAATTAGAGGATCATTAGATCCAAGGACAGCATGTCATTGTGGAAAGATGAGCCTGGAATGATCTGTTAAGTCAGTTCTTCTGTTTAAGCCCTTTTCAAGTTCCCTGCCATCTACAGGTTCAAGGCCCACCTCTTCCAAGGCATGTGAAGACACCTCTCCAAGTTCGTCTCCCAGACTCAAATATCTGAGCCAGTTTCCTTAGCCATATCATAGTGTCCTCTGCCCTGGCTCATATGTACTCAGCCCCTGGAGTCCTTGTCCTTCCTTCCACTCACTCAATTTGCCCCGGAGACTGCGTTGAGTGTCTCCTGTCACCTCCTGTCTCCTGCTCTGGGCTGGGTTGAGTGTCCCCCTTCTAAGGTCCCAAGATACACTCTTATCTATTACTGCTCCTAGCCTTATTGCTCAGGCCCAGGACAGGAACCGCAGCTTCCTTCCCTTCAGCAGTGTGGTTTCAGGTTGTCAGTTTGAGGTCACTGACACAGCATGTGATGCTCTCCCTTCCTCACCTGGGGGGTAATTGTGCTGTCCCCTTGGTTTTCTGACTCAGGGTTATGTGACACAGGTGTGTCTTAAACTGCCTGAGCCAAGTTATGGGAACACGGCATGTATGCCTGCCGAGTATGATGGTAGTCTTACTTTAAATAAAAGGGAAGCAAGGCCCATGGGGTGGCATGTCTCACCACATACACAGGAGGAATGGGATTGAACAAGGCCCATACTCCAGTGCCTAAGCGCTTAGCTGTGGATGCTACCGGTCACTTTTCTCGTCGCCGAACAGAAAAGGACTTGAAGGAAGGAAGAGTCATTTTGGTTCAGTTGATGGGGAAACAGTCCATCACGGTGGGGCAGGCAAGGCAGTTGGCCCACAAACTAGGAAGCAGAGGAAAGTGATTGCTGGTGCTTAGCTTCCTTCTCTATGGGATGGTGCCTCCCACTCCAGAGTGAGTCTTTGCTCCTTAGATACACTCGGGATGTGTTTCCTGATTCTATACCTAGAGAAATTGACCATGACGATTAATTATCACAAGTCCATTCCTGAACTATTAATTATCACAAGTCCATTCCTGAACGTGTCACTTTATATGAACATTCTACCCCTCATGGCCACACACACTGGCTGGAGTAACTCTGGAACTCAGCTGCAAGCCGCTCTGGCCCTCTAACTCTTGATTTTTGCATGTCTATCTACCCAGCATCACATTGGCAACCCTGATAAGTTTTGCTGCCTGCTGGAGATACACTTTGACCTTCTTATACCGCAGCTGCGGTGGCCTCTATATACTTTGCTGCTGGCACAGAGAAAACACTCCCAAAGGCAGTTGTGTGGGCAAGAAGCCCCTTCAGCTGTTCCGTCCAATCTCTCAAGTGCATTCACATTTCCCCACCTGGAGCCATTGCCATGTGAAGTCTTGCTCCCAGAGCACTTTCCCCAGTCCCAGTGCAGAGTGTGACACTAGTCTCCTTACCGATTATATCCCCTTCTGTCTGCAAACTTGCCCGTGTCTCTCTGTTCTCCCAGTGTGGATCTGACTGACGGCAGTGAGCAGTAACCATGGTACAGACTGAATATAGTTGTCTTGGAACTTCCTCCACAAAACAAATTAACACATTACCTTTCACTTTATCTTCACTCAGGTTCTCAGAACATGGTCAGAATGAACCAGAATTTAACATGGATGGCTTCTGTCTCAGTTCTCAATAAAGTTCCTGTTCATGAGCCTGATTTTTTGCTGTCTTTTTTTTCCCCTCTCCTCATTCTGGTGGCCCAGATTTCCACCAGGGGCCCCTTAAGTTCTTTTCACAGTGTTCTAGGGTGTTTCTAGCCTGTAGATCCAGACCCATTCA